TTTATTAGGAGAAAATTTTGGATGTATTGAATACATTTCTTGAGGATTCGTCGCATACGCCTTCTTCCGAAAATAATGTCACTAATCAGTTATATTACGAAGTTTTAAAATGGGCATGTATTCTCGATAGCATAAAGTGCAAAGATATTGTTATGGCTGAGTTAACGTGGCATATACACAATCCTGCACGAAACAGGTACGTTATTGACTTAATAGCAAAATAATAGTATTAAAGACGGTATCTGATTGTAGTTATGTTGTTTTACGTTTATATACGATTATCGTAAATTTCACATTCTTCTTATTATTGTTACTATTAGTATTTTTGTTATAGTTGTTGCCCTTGTTGTTGTTACAAAAAAACATTATCACGACTAGTGATTTTTATATTTCCTTTTCTCTCTCTTCTTTGAGTAAAGGTATATACATTGTTTCATTGCAGACTTTTGCCAAGTTGGCAGAAATGGATATTTTGCCAGAGTTTAATGTTAGAAAATTCCACGTATGAAAACTCTTCTACGTGGTATACATTAAAAACTATGTATGAAACGCAGTCAAAAGAAGAAGAAATGTTTAAATTTTTACCTTGTTCTAGACTTCACAGGAATATTTTCTTATCTTTTTATTCCTTTTCAACTAATATTCTGCCATCTTATGAAAGTATAGTAAATTTAAAAAAAAGTGATAGAGTGTCTTGTCTTTTTAATATTTTTGCAAAGCATTCAAAAACTGTTGCATCGTTGACGTCTATACTACAAGGAATACATTACATAGTCAGGTAAACCACTTTTACGTATGTATAGATTTTTGCATATTTATACACAATGTATGTACGTTTTATATAAACTGCATATGAAATCCATTTGCCGCATATACGATGTTGTATTATAATATATACTTAATACGTAAACAAAGAAATTTTACATATTAATTGTCATTGTTACTTGTGATAGCGATATTAACATAGGTGCACTAATGAACTGTATTATTAACAACATATATTCAGCCGAAGGCCTGTTGTTGGTACGTATAGGAAGTACTATATATAGTCATTTGCTTTATCAATATATATGATTTACTTTATCTAATTTTATATATATAAAAATTTACACATTTCGGGTTTTGTACATATCATATATTTATATACGTAAGTGTGGTAGAGGTATTTTGTAGTTATATAATATATCTTAAAGTGTTTTCGATATAATAACATTAATATGTAAAGTTATGTGTTTTTATACAATGCGCAAGGACATCACATTCAATGATAACAGCACAAAATATTTTCAGGTTACCGATGGAAAGTTCTTACAAATGCTGCAAGACAGACATCGTGCGGTAAATGTTTTTCTAGACTATTTGAAGTAATCTATAAGTAATGTTTCTTGTAGTTTAACGATTTTTTTGAGTTTCTAAATGTAAACTATTTTATATTTCCAAATTGATATTTTGTTTGTTCTTATAAACATATATTTTTTTGATCTAATCTCTGCAAACATATACAAAATTATTATATAAGATTTTGTAATCTGTTCCAGCCATTTTATGTTATTGTCGCCGTGAAACACAAAGTTAATGATCGTCGTGCTTTACTAGTTAAAATAAAAAATAACTTTTCTCCAAACCGTAAAATGCATTTATTTACAGAGATTTAATGTTAGACTTGTATACTCGTTTTATTTATCTTAAAGGGACAAATGCTACCAATTACTTGTATTTCTCAATATTTATGTGACTTGTGTTTAATAAGAAAAGTTTTCTTTTATGACAACAAAAAATATTTATTACTTATATTTAAAATCGGTAATACAGTTTACGGATTTTAATATAGTTAATAATTCGCGCCAGTTGTCCACAAAAGAAAATTAGATCTGTATTAAAAGTAAATAGTTTATAATAATTTATTTGATTCAAGTATTGATGTAAAGTTAAGTAGTCATTAAGCATTTTGCACAAAAAATAAATATATATTAATTACATAGTAAAACATTACAACATATATACATAAGATTATAGAAATAAGAGAAAACCGTTATATATTATTTAATGTTAAATTTAACGAGATTAATATACATTGATTAAGATTATTACTAATAATTATAAAACAGTAAGAGTTACGGTAGTTTTACTCTATTATGTTTTAACTATAAAATCATTTGTGTTATATAATTTTTATTTATAATAAACATACCATTTGCTTTATTTCTCTGGTTACTTTTTAATGTGTCTTAAGATTTAAACAATGTGCAATATTTTCTACCAAGTTTATATGTGAACATATTTATATGTATACATTATATATATATAAAGAGAATAATAATCAATGAAAAGGTTGATACGAGGCAAAAAATACTGGATGTCAGTGGATGTGAATGTTTCTTTATTAATGTCAGACGTTTCGACTCCTGGATTGAGTCTTCTTCAGTGACATTAGTATCGGCCTTTTCATTGATTATTATTCTCTTTAACAATTTCACGGGGTCTACAATATTACTATTTATACATTATATATTTATATGTACCTTAATATAATCATTTTGTTTTGCTGTATTACTAATACTCTAAGAACAAATGTGTTCTCCCAAACAGAACTTTATTGCTTGCTACCTTTATCGTCTCTTTTTTAAAAATACAAAGTTACAGTACTTTTACTCTCATAATAATATTTGGTGTTACAAACCTTCTCTATGACAACTTCTCAATATGTACAAATAATGTCATTTGTCGTAATTTTTATCTATTGTTTTACTTATTTAGACTCATAAACATTTTTATAATACTACAGAAGTTTCTAGAACTTTACATATATCTTTTTTAATGAACCTATTGATACGTCATGTAACATGCAGTACACTAGATGCGCGTGCATTCGCAATTTAAAATGATAGATGTTTACTTACAACTACAATACATTCAGACTTTATCGACAGACGCGCTATCAAAATTATTGCGTCACTTTATCTTTGTATTATATCTATTATATCTATTATATCTATTATATCTATTATAATATGCAATAAACATAGAGCGAGATGCAATATCGCAGATATAGCGCTCTTCTTTACCACAGCTATCTCTACAGATTTACATCGAAGTATCAATCAAAAGCGTCAGTGATAAGGAACCCTGATTAAAGATCACTATATTCTACTATTTGATTTGTTTTTGTGTTTGTGACAATTTTTATTAAGTTCAGCAAGAAAAGAAAATCGGTCTTTGCATAAGAAAAGTAAAGAGTGCAAAGTGGCGATAGCGGTTTGTGTTACATTGGCGAGATACTCGCTAACATCTAATGGCTGTAAAGTAAGATGGCTTTCTGATACGAGATATGCGCAGAACGAACAAGTTTTTGTCCGTTTCACTTTACATTTTTTATTGAACTTAGTGTAGTTTTCAGGCGTTTTTTTGCTCTGATTTATGTATATGTCACAAAAAAACCTGAGAGCAATCAAGCCATGAAACTTTTTTCCGACATACTCGCAATTGCTGCTTTCAACATTACATATCCATAAAAATAAATGTATAAAACACTTACAAAGCAATAATCACTTTCAATCGTAGACAGTACAAATGTAATCTTTTTTGAGTCTGTGCTGTAATCACTATTAAATAGTTTAAAAATTTGTTTATAGTTTATTCAATGTAGTTGTTTCAAAAAAACAAATATTGAACTGACTATCTCAAATAAAACATCTCGAATAGGAACGTTTTCGCATATTGAACAGTGAAAATTTACATTTCAAAAGTCATATTTTTATCACTAACCATATTTCTATATATATATATATATAGCAGTAGAGATAACTTTCGTAAACCGCGAAATCACTTGAACGCAATTTACATATTAGAATGGAGGCTAAGTACTTTGTTTCTTTACTATGCGCGCTTATGCGAGATTCGTATATCGCGATTTATAAAACGCGGCATTTCTATAGAACAAAATATCGCCAAACTACAAAACCTACCTTTATACAGTAGCGTAGTAAGAAAAGACAGCTACCGGTGCAGTCTTTTTCCCGGTAAATGTACAGAAAAGGTCACCCCCCTCCGATTTCAATGAGCTTGACATATGTTGTCAAGGACACCTTCCTGAGTAACAATCCGTAAATTTTAGCCGTCGCTCGTTGTTAATAAAAAAGTTATGAACAATTGAAGTTTGAAAACTAAGGCTGCTGCTTACACGCTTATAACACGAACAAAAAGAATGAAAAAGTAGCCTTCAAAACATCGTACATACTAAATATTTACTTTACAAAGACGTATAATGTCAATAAGTATGTAGAGGTCGGAAACAAATGTTATGATGTATTTCTCACTCTTTCTTATATTCAATATTGTTTTATATTAAACACGTAATCTCTGATTACGCGTTACG